ACACACACACACACACACACACACACACACGACGGGGATGTTGGATCTAGAGTCTCCCTCCTTCAAATTTCGGACTCCACTGAAATCTAAGGATCTTTTTGGGGGATTTTCTGTCAAAGCCTTGAAAACAAAGTCATAAAACTGAGCTGAACCTTCTCAACTCTCCTACAGACCAAACTTCTTGACCACAAGTAAAACCCGAGGTCACTAGGATGTCTAGATGAAAAACTTTAGTCCACCGTTAAACCCTTAAACTTTACTGCAACTTCTGGACTCACCAGAAACCCACTTGAACCCTGAGTCCTCCAGAACTGACTCAGGATCTCTCTGACCCTTCAGGACTCACCTGGCTGAAACATTTAAACACCCCTGTGGTTCCCCATGAGAATGCTTGAACATAGTCGTGACATCAATTCCTTAAAACTGCTGAAGTCGCACCTGCTGAGGTAGAAAGAGAAAACTGGAGCATCCACCGTCTTCTGGGCCAACATGTTGTCAAAAACAGGGTTTCCAAGGATCTCTGCCAGGGCCGGATAACCCATCCCCAGAACGCCGTCAAACTTCGCCAATACAAATGTGGCCCCAGGCTCGTAGACAGATTCCCCAAACTCCTGGTTCACGATGGTCAGACCACCGACCTGAACACAAGGGATTGCAGAGTATTGTGACATCTACTCATCTACAGCTTCTACTGAGCAAAAGAAAATGAAAAACATTTGCATCCTGTTCATTGAGGACACTTTTATTTTCACTTTATATGAATTTAAGTATCTTCTACCACTGTTGTGCTGATGACACAATATTTAGTGTGTGTATCAGCCGTCATTCTGTGCTGAGCATATGAACAGTGAAGAACACAAGAGACCTTCAGTGTGTCTCTGGCCATGACTCCCAGCAAGTGTCCTGATCCGTAGTGAATCCCGAACATCCGACCGTCATGATGGAACGATGACGAGTCAAAAGCCCTGAAACGCTTGTGTAACACTGTAACACACACACACACACACACACACACACACACACACACACACACACACACAGGGGGGGGAGAGACCTTGGACTTGTTGTCACACTAAACAGAGTCAGGCCGTTCCGACCCACAACTACTATATTTATACAAATAATAAACACACACTACTGCAGCATTGTGTGTGTTGTGTGTGTTGTGTGTGTTGTACCACAGGCTTGGCTGACACAGTAGGACGATGGGACCCAGAGATCAGCTGAGCCGGTGTCAAAGATCACAGAGAAGTTCTGCTCCGGCGTCCCCAACCTGATGTCAGCGTAATACTGAGCCTGACGCAGAACACAGACACCGAAACACCAGCTCAACTTTATACTGACGTGGGACCATGAGCAAGGCACAGAGTCCTAATTAAAGTTTTATCTGATAACACTGACCCCCACTGGAATTGTTAAAGCACTGCAACACATGTAAAGAACAATCGATTCAATATTAAAAAGCAGGAAACTCATAAAATCCTGGGGCCTCATGAGGAGTTCAGGGTTTTGAGCCTTGCACAGGAGCGCTTCAGCAGAGCTGTGAGGTTTGAACCAGCAACCTCTCCAACCTGTCCTCATTCTTACATCCATGAAGTTGTAGATCCTCTCACTGGAGCGTCCGAGACGCAGCGACGGCGTGCCGGATGGGAAGCACTGAGCGTAGCGGCGGTTGAACATGTCAGGGCGGTGATCCCTGAGGAACTCCTCCAACAGGCCGTCGGCTCGCAGCTGGGAACGAATGGAAGGAACCCGCCTCAGAGGGATCCTGCCGGTGAGAGTTCTAAGATTTGAATCTACCGACTGAATCTTTTTATGTCGTTAATGAAAATAACTCATCACAAGAACTTCCAAGATTTGGACTTGAACTTGAGAGTCAACATAAATCTACAGGCAGACGAACTTCCTCACAAATCGAACCTCAGATATAAGAAAAGTAAACTGTTAGATTTTTAGTTTGTTCTATGAGAAGAAACATATGAATGAAGGCGTGTTTTTCCAACCTGACCACAGCCGAGCCCGTCCACGTCCAACCCAGCAGAACCAGCAGCAGCAGCCTCAACATGTCCGTCACTCTGTCAGTCCGTCTGACCGACCGGAGCTCAGCAGACGATGCAGTTTATCAGGGTTCTCTGATGCTGATTGGATCTGAGTCAGTGTGACATCACAAACCCTCAGAGTGTGTGTGTGTGTGTGTGTGTGTGTGTGTTACCTCTTCAGGACCTTTTCATGCAGAAACACTGGCCTTGTCAGGACCAGGGCACCTCATGGGGACCACAGCTCGGTCCTGATGAGGCTAAACGTCTCTTCTGACGTCCTGCTGAAGGTGAGAGTCTGTGCAGTAGTGATGGTGGGGCGGAGCCACAGCTCAGCCTCAGCTGTCAATCACACTTCAGCTGACAGATGATGGAGATTATCTGGCTTCACTTTTGGAGCCGTCATGTTTAACTTGAATTTATGCAGATTCACGAAGATCTGAAAACTGCTGCTTTGAGAAAAGCTTCACAGCACTCGAGTAACTGACAAACCACATCAGTCAGTTTCCCTCACGTCGGAGTCAATAATCTCTGGTTTTCCCTGAACTCACGCGGCCACTGTTGACTCAGGTCACTTTGACTCAATGAGGCAGAAAAAGGAACAAAAAAAAAAACCCAACAGCACTTTACCTTGTGATGAAGTGACATTTAATCTAGAATCTGTTTCTTTCACACGATGACGGATGATTGTTTTTATTTCTTATATGTGAATTTGGACGTTTATTATATTTCGTTACCTCTCAGGAGCCGAGACTTGAAAAAAACACAAACAAAACTACGGATGATGATTGGTTCATTTATTTCAGTAAACAAAACAACGTCCAAACTTCGTTTCTAAACGCTACCTGTGCTAACGTTAGCTCAAGCAGAGTGCTGCGACCAAGGCTAATGTTAGCATCAGAAACAAACTGTACGAACGTATCCACTGTTAGCATTCAGTCCAGCAAGCATTAGCATGAGCAGTGCTTCCACAGTGAGTTTAATGACAGAGAGAAAAGACCAGTGGAGCGTTTCTTTGAATCGAACGACACAGAGGTGATAAATAACAAAACCGACGCCCCTCGTTCTTCTTCATCCTCCTCTAGCAGGGGTGATGGTCAGGAACTCTCTTCCTGTAAATACATTAAAAAACATCATTAAGAACTGAGGAACTTGTATTTTCAAATTTATGCAACTTCATATCTGTACTCTGCGATCAGGACGATGACAAAATATGAAAACTTTAAAAGCTCAACCCGCCACAAACACTTCTCTGCTGCTGGACGTGGTTTCCTGCCGGGAGCAGATTTAACAGTCACATGGTTACGTGTTGGTATCCATGGTGATGACTGACCTGGGAGCAGCTTTGATGATGTTGTCGACTCTCAGGATCATCTCTGCGGCCTCGGACGCGCTCAGCAACACCTGACGCTTCACCTGGAACGACTCTGTGACGCCCAACTCTGCCATGTTGCCCACGGTGCCTTCAGTCATGTCTGCAGGGAAAGAAATGGGTCAGGTGACCGCCTGGTTCAGGTACCGGTCGAGGTTTGTGTGAAGTTAAACCCTCAGGGGGACAGGTTCCGTCAGCGCTTCCCAACTTATCGGTTAAAACAGGATTTTCAGAACAGATTAATAATTGTGTTTGTTTCATGTGTAACTCACTCAGTCCAAACGTGCTCTTGTTCTCCTGGTGAGCGGCTCTCAGTTGAGCCACCAGGTCGGCGCTGTCGTAGCCAGCGTTGTCAGCGATGATGGTCGGCAGCTGGAGCGGGAAACAGGAATTATTCATAATATTCATCAAATTCAAACAGTTCAAGGTGTCGACTAAAATAAGTGACGGAGCAGCAGACACATTCTTCAGATGGTTTCTCCTGAATCTCGCCAGAGAACAAAAAACTATTTGTCTTTTAACCCAACTTCCTAAAGGTCCTTGAACTCATCGTAAGTGAGGTTTGAACCTGCAGGAGAGAATCCAACGCTTATGTATTTTTGAACATGACTTTCAAACCCTCCGCTCCAAGTTCAGAATGAAAGAGAACACGTCTGTACCATCATCAGAGCTTTGGCAAACGACTCCATGGCAACCGCCTCCTTCCCTGGCGTCCTGTTGGCCAGGTCACTCACCACCTTGGCCATCAGCATCTCGGAGCAGCCTGACGGAGAGGTGGACTCAGGTTAGTGGTGGCGAGCACGTGAACATTTAAAGGATGTTAAATATGTGACGCTGTACCTCCTCCGTAGACGGTGCGCGGCTCCTTCACGGTCTGAGCCAACACGCACAGAGCGTCATGCAGCGAGCGATCCGCCTCGTCCAGAATCTGCTGAGTCGCTCCTCGCAGGACGACAGTGCACGCCTCACCTGAGGACGGGAGGGAGGGGGGGCGGTAAGTGATGTAAACATGCACAACAGCTGCTTTTCAAATGCAGCCATGTATGTGTGTGTGTGTGTGTGTGTGTGTGTGTGTGTGTGTGTGTGTGTGTGTGTACCCATGGCGACTCCAGAGAAGTGGATGAGCGTGTCCTCTCCG